GCTTGCGAGATGTGCTTTAGTTTAATTACCTTTCAATTAGCTTACCGGTGATATACATCAAGAATTCTGTACGACAAACGCAAAGTACAGTTATTGTTCGAAATTAACGGAAACTATTGCATTGCCTTGTATTGTGAGCCACTTTTTATAGTACCTACATATCACATACCTATGGATTATAACTCGGATTAACGTGTTTATTTGGTTATTTAAATCGCTTTGTATTTATTTAGACAGATTTTTATAAAAAATAAGCTCAGATTTACTGTGTCGCCTTGTACCATTGTATATAGGTGTATATACAGTGCTTGTACAAAGGTACCTACATTACGAAAGTACCTCGGAAAGTACTTTTCGAAACGACTCATATTTTTGGGCTTTCTGTAACTTACACGAACTTACCGTATCTTCACTTTGAACTCATAGGGCTCGATCTAGAGATATCCCCCTTAGACTCTCGTGCAAACCTTTTTTGTGCCGGAATAATAATGAATAATAGATTTTATCGTGCGGGGTAAATAAATTCTATGTCTTACCAAATATTGAAAATACTATTTAAAAATATGTATAGGTACTGTTGGCTGAGGAATTCCTAAGGGAATAGCAGTATGGTAAATTACATATTGCTATTCATCGTTGCTCCAAATTGTACCCAACTAAGTTGCGCCTACAACGCCTACTAGTGAATTTTTTAAAATCTTTCTCTAATTAAACGCCATTTTCGTTGTTTTTTTTACGTAACCGCTTTTGTTTCTTGAAGGTGATGATGATAAACTAAACGATTAAAAATGAAGAGTGTATAATAGGTAATCATGATTTGTTTGTTTCTATGTTGTATAATAATAATAATAGGTATGGCGCTCTTGACGTAAAATTAACATAAATAATCAAATCACAAACCAAACAAATAAAGTCCATAATGCTGGCTTAAAGGGATTGAATATAACAATATATAACTGATTGATTTAACTAATAAAATTTGAAAATTGATATGTCTCACCATTGAAGATGGAGACGACTAAAATAAAATCTTAAAATTAATTGATCATAGACTAATTGATTAATCAATTTGATTAATTAATTAAATGACTAATGAATTATTTGGATAAAATATACGCCACTGGTTATTAAAAATTTCTGAATTTCTGCGTAAGGGCTAACTTTAGTGAAAATATGCTAACTACATTTTTTGTAGGAAATTTTCGTTTCTTTAATTTTGCTCACCACATATTTTCTCGTAAAATGCGCAGTTTCGGATATATCGGCGGAAAACCGCTTTTGACGGCCATCTTGGCAAGATGGCAGCCCCGGCGGCAAGTTTATAATTGTGCATTTTATGAATTTTAGTTCTACGCACTCAAGCAATTTCTGTACTTTCCGAGTTATTTCCAGGTAAAAATCCTCAATGACTGGCCTATTAGCAGAACCTTTAACAATCGAAATAATTTCCAAACGGTATGTTTTGCTGGCAAACTTTTTACGGCACAAACCGGCACAAACGAAGCACTAACCAACCCACCTAGTCTCGACATTTGTGCCTTCAATGTGCTGCTAACTTCACGGACCCACCGCCGCCATCACCTGACCACCTGATGTCTGTACTTATATCATTTCCATTTCGCATTGTTTGCATTAAAAATCAATTCATAAATGGCTGTACCACTGCTTTGATGAAAATATGGTAATTTTGAACCTTTTTAATGAAGTTTGAAATTGTAGTGTAGTGTAGTGCTCATTAAGGATGCTTAATTGCCATATTTTTAAAACGGTATCCCCAAGTTCCATTTTATTAACCATTGTCGGGATTGTTATCATTTTGTATGGCTTTGTTGTGAGACGTCCGATCGCTTTGAATTGGTGCACAGGCTCGTAATAAGGATATAAGAAAGGTTGCTTTGCTATTGTTTTTCAGCTGTAGGTAGCGTAGGTTACAATCCAAAAATGAACCACCCGAGTATCGTTCGGTATTCAGTTGTATCGGATTTTTTACGTAATTCTTCCAGAACTTAATTTGATGTGTCACATGAAGTATGATACCTATATACTATTTAAAATGCTAAAGTCGGTGTGGTGGAAATAAAATGAGTAGAAAAAGTCCCCGTTAAATATGTCCCCTCGGTGGTTATAGTGATAAGTGTATGACCTGACCATTGGCCATATCACTTTTCTTTCGCCAGTTATTAAGGCTGCGTTTGCACGCCATGGTGTTAGAGTAGTGAACTAAGAAGTATTTTTGAAATATTCGTCGCTTTGTGCTGCCATCCCGAATCCGCGATCCCTATTTGTACTTCGTTAGGTCGCTAACACTCGCATGCATTCGTCTTTGCTTGAGATAAAATTAAAAATAGTATTTTGCTTATCTTTGGTTACCACCTGTAACATTAAATATCGTTCCGTAACTCTAAAAAGGGAATTTAGTGATCGTGCGGAATAAATTCTACCTAAAAATACTTATTTACCATAATATGCGGTTTTGTTCAGTAATTCAATTGAATGCCAATAACAGTAACAGTGCGTAATTGTAATTCCTGAAATGCCATTCAAAGTTAGGTTATGTTTACCTGATTTTCTATTAACTGCAAAATAACAAAAAAAACAGTACCTACCTAGGTAAGTAAAGTTGAGGATCTTTATATTAATATAGTTCTATTAATGGATTGTTTTAGACTATCCTTCGACTGTACACATTTCCGAAGATTGACTTACGACACGGAGTAAATTTGTTTCCGATTATCATTTTACCGAATGATGTCATTGCAGTGCGTTTATATAAGGTCATCGGTCACATCATGGTCAGTTTCTTACAAACATGTTCTGACCGATAATAATGTGAATCGGCCTTAAGGAATACACGCTCTAACTGATACGTGACTCAGCCTTTATGATCACAAAGGACAATCCACGCAATATTTTTAGGAAAATCAGATTTGCAATACTAGCTCGTAATTGAATGTTATTTGTTTGGATGTGAAATAAAATCATATTTTGATACAATACCGATAGTATGTAGTTCATTCAAATTATGGGAACCGAGATTCAATCGGTGGGGTTTCGTTATTATAATAGTGCTTAAATTTAGTTGTAAGTGACATGTACATTTATTATCGAATATATAATCTCCAGTTAGTGATTTCTTGCATGAGTTGTCTGATAGCACTGCCGAGGTGTAAATACCACCGTACATCCGACTTACGGTGGTATTGTACAATGTACATCTCGACAGTGTAACTGGGGCGAAAAATTTTTATAAGAGTATTCCTGCCCTTAAGTAGCGCTCATGAAGCGCTTTGTCGGGTAAACGTAAGCAGTATTAACACTTTGTGTATTATCAATTCAGAAACATCAACTAACGTAAACTCTTTTTTAAAATAATCGCTTTCCACTTCTTCCAGTTGTAAGCTCTGAAATTTTTATATTAATTAATTACAACGTAGAGTGAAAAATCCCCTGATCCTTCACTCAACATTTATAAATACTTCTTTTGCCAGTTTCCTAACCCAAATTTTGAATGTAGGTAACGTTAACCAGTGTAATTCTTACTTATGATACGGTTTTTTGCTGGAAACATTTTATCTGCACTAATGACCAAAAAAAACCAATAAAGGACTAAGTTATACTGCTAAAAAGTAGGTACATTAATACATTCCAATAAGTACTCCACTTTAAATTTCCCGCTTTTTAAGTAGTATACCGTAGCCATCTTAGTGGATACACGTTGAACTACACTGAGAACAGATTTCTTTACTATAATTGTTTTAGGAGTTATTCTTCAAGTGAATGGAGTTCATACCGTTTGTGCTTTAGAAACCACATTTAATTGATTTTCACATCACGTTTTAATTATTATATGTGCAAGAATCTTGAGAAACCATTTATATTGCAAAAACTTCTTTGACCTTTGAATTATACACAAAAGATTGTCATTGCAACCGAACGTCTACTTTATACGCTTTCAGAGAATGTACTATGAGTTTTAATGCAATATAAA